CGTTCGTACTGATTTGTGTCAAGAGCTACGCGGAGGGACCGAGAGTAAGAGCGCCCTGGACCTCTGCGCTGTTGCCCTTCTTCCTCTTCATCATTTTCCAACGCCTTTCCTCCTTCCTTGTCCAGGGCATCAACAACCATACATCCACGAATATGCTTGATACCAAATTGTTTCCTGAATGGCAATTGCTTCTGCTTCGTTTTATCTTTTCCAGTGTCTTTTGTATTCTTTGACCACGACGGAAGCTCTGGATCCATTTCAATCGTAATCAAAAACAGCACGTCGTGACGCTTTAAGGACTCCCATTCACGACGAATGGAGTCGGAGTACTTTCCAACGACAAAAGACACTTCACCCAGCACAAAACTGGGTTTTGTCTCACCGACTGCCGGTGTTCCGACTTCAGTAACTTCGACCTGGTATGTCAGATAATGATGGAGATGAGAAACTTTGACTAAATCATGATTTTGGTGACATACCCGCTCAATCGGAACAGCCATTCTCGCCCATCCTGAAAACACAGTCGATCCACTCAAAGAATCAACGTCAGGGGAATACTTTGGTGCAAGTCTCTTCACGGCGTCTTCCACATCCTGTCGAATTTCGTACGCTGTCTCCAATCGGAATAAGTTGAAATTCCTCAACAAGTAATCATGCATTGTTAAGAACTGCAGATTGAGTTTTGGAATGGGCAAGCAGTGTGTATTTTGGAAGTTGTAAGAGTTGGGAGACCGGACATCGTCAAACAGGTCCGACTGAGTAAATAACATTAGTTCTATGATAAACAGGGAAGTAAACTGAAAACAAACCTCGTTAGGGTACACAGATAAAGAATTGATCGAGTCTAGTTGCCTCGTCTTCTTGCAAAAAGTCCGTGCCAAAGTTTCCACTAAAAAGCTGGCTTCATACTTTTCTGCATCATCTTCATCTTCCTTATCGCCACCAACTACGGCAATTCTGAACCCTAATTCCAAGCAAATTTCATAGAGAATCTCTATATCAACCTCTCCAAAATGCTTTCTGAAAGTTTCAGCAGTTTCCACAACACTAACAGGTTTCAGCGCAAAGTCTTCAAGTTGCTCGCGGTACTTCAGGAAACACGTTTTTTGTAGACTTTGTAATCGTTCATAGTGAAGAGCAGTTGCTTCATCTTTCGTAACAGATGCACCAGTGAGATCGTCAATCTCGAATGATTCGTACAGCTCATAAAGTTCCAAAAGTTGCACGAATGTAGAACCGCTCAGGATATGAGACACACCAGCTTCGAGGCTAATTCTTCCACGATTGGCTAGAGCTGAAGAATATGATGTTTGGGCAAAGTAGTGATCTTTCAAGAGGACGGTAAGGTATCTCCTTGTTGGAAGTTGAGCAAGCAAGTCTGTCATAAATTCGACAGTTCGGTCGCAGAATTCAATGGCAGCGCGGTTGTCTGCAGTTGGAGTTGCTGGAACAGTCGCCAGCACTTTGTAGTACAATTTGATGAGGTTTGACATGAAGTATTGCTCGTTGGTGATTTCTTCTTCTGTGGCTAGAAAGTGTAAATTTTAGATGCAGTCATCGATATAAATGACACTCTGGCGTGTCTCAAGAGAAAGTTCACAACATCGTTCATCCCTTGTTCACCAAGTCCAACAATACGTATTATGTGAATATCCACACGTTATTTCACATATATTCGTTGCTTATGCCCTTTTATAGCTCGGACTTACCATTAGTGCGCTTCTTTTCGGCCTTATTCCAAGATTTTCGAAGGCCAGACCCTTTCTCTAACTCCATTTCCAACTTTTCGGCATCACGCAGTGAGTGCCAGATTGAGATACCGACAAGTTTCATTGATTCGGCACGGACAATATCGTTTTCGAGTGATTGGAAAGCATGAATCAGGAAGACGAGGAGAACGCGACGAGATTCGATGGGCAGAGAGTCGCTGATCAACAGTTTGAGGACAGCTTTGAAGAGCAGAGAGAACTTTTCGGGGTCTTCAGTGAGAAGCCGCCAAGGCCCAGCGACACGTTCTCTGCATTTTTCATTGAGTAGAGCAGCAATCGACAGCACGTGGTTTTTCGAGGCTTTTGCATTAAAGTTTGGCCACAGGTACTGAGCGAGAAGAGAGCGTGAGTTGGATGAGGGGGGCAAAGCAGAAAACAAACAAACGCACGCGCTCCAGACACTGATTCAGATCGAGCAACATGGCATTTCGAACGGCGGCGGTGCTGTCTTCGAGTTCCGCCCAGAGTTCGTCGACGACCTTCAGCGAGAAAGCGGGTTGGGAAGCGGTCTTCTTCCCCTTTTGGCGCTTTGTCTCCGCTTGCTTCCAGTGCTTCGCGGCCAGTTTCGACACGGACAGCGACGCGAATTCGGCGGCGGTCACGTTCAAGTTCTGCGGTGCCGCCTCGACTGCGTCTTCGTCGTCGTTTGGTGTTGCGTCCGCAGTCGCGCCTGAGGAGCCCGCGTCAACTGCCTTGGACCCGCGGGCGTCGTGCATCTCTTGGTCGCTGTCGTCGGCTTCGGCGGAAGCGGCTGAAAAGAACCCGAGGTCGGCTGGCGGGTGCGGCGTGGGCATTTCTGGTGAACCGTTGTTGAACAAAAAAAGTGGAAAGGAAAATGTAGAGAACAGAACTGGGAGACATTCCTTATTTCCTCTCTTTCTTTTCTTGGCATATGATGATGAGAAAGAATGGGATTGTCATACTTTCTCATCAACAAGATTGACAAGTGACTTTCAACCTTCCTGTTGCCGCTAGATATAAAATGACTGAGAAGAGCGACAAAGCTGAGCATACAGTGTTGATATCTGGAAACAAGAGTGGAACAAACGAAGTAAGTTTGGTGAAACCTGAGTGCTATTCCTTATTTCACATCCCACAGATTAGATGGAAAAACCTAACTTATATTGTGCCTTACGGAAAGAAAAGTGAGACAAAGACGCTTTTGGATAACGCGTCGGGTTATGTTCGTCAAGGCCAGGTGGTTGCAATCATGGGCGGATCTGGTGCTGGAAAGTCAACCCTTTTGAATACTCTTGCCGGCCGTATAGCGGAACAAAAAGGCAGTGAGTTGCGAGGGGATATTTTATTAAACGGCGAACCAAGAAATCCCAGTAATTGGACCAATATATGCTCATACGTTGAACAGGTATTGAAGGGATTTACACTAGTTGATCAACGTCATTTAAACATTGGCGAAAGGACGATTTAATGTTCACAAACTTGAGCGTTGAAGAGACTTTGACGTATGCGGCGAAACTGCGACTCCCTTCTTCCATGTCATCCAAACAAAAACTTGATAAAGTCAACGAAGTCATTATGCAACTCAATCTTAATGGATGCCGTAAAACTTGGATTGGTGATAGCCTCAGTGAGTCTTCACTGGCACATCCATTGAATTGCTAAACTTGAACACTCAACTCTCAACTAGGACGTGGAATTTCAGGTGGTGAACGTAAGCGTGTAGCAATCGGAGTGGAGCTTGTCGCAAATCCCTCCATTCTCTTTCTCGATGAACCAACCAGCGGCCTTGACTCTGCTAATGCACTTGGAATTCTCGAAACAATCAAGAAGATTGCAGTTGATAGAGGAATGATTGTCCTCATGACGATTCATCAACCACGTACAGAGATTCTAGACCTTTTCGATAAAGTGATTTTGCTCTCGTTGGGTAAGACTCTCTGGTTTGGATCCACAAACAGCGCGTTGGATCATTTTGAGCGACATGGTCACCCTCTTCCACCAAAAACAAATCCATCAGATGTATGTTGTCTATTGATTTGTTGATGATCTAATATTTTATCGGTTTAGTTCTTTTTGGATGTTATCACGATCGACCGTCGAACTCCTGAAGCCGAAAAAGCCTCTTCTGCGACAATTGATAAACTGCACAAAGCGTACAACGAAAAAATCGGCTCCTACAACTCTCCTTTTCCCTCGCAGTTACTTCACATTGACTCGAGATACGTTTGGCCGCTCGCATGGCATCAAGAATTTGCTGTACTCCTTTCAAGAAACATGAAAGATTTCTCGCGTAATAGTGCAGCCATCAAGGCATCACTTGGACAGACGTTTTTTCTTGTGATATTGATGGGATTTGTCTTTTTCCAAGAAGCCAATGATCCTGCTGGTGTTCAATCGCGTATTGGGTTCCTGTTCTTCATTTGTATCAACCAGACGTTCAGTGTTGTCATGCCCAACATTAGTGTATTACCAACGGTACGTACAATTTTCAAGAGGGAACGAGCAGCCGGTTGTTATCGTGCATCTTCGTGCTATCTAGCGAAGCTCGTTAGCTCGATTCCCATGGTTTGTCTAAACTCGCTTATGATGTCTACACCGTTGTATTGGATGGTTGGATTGCAAAACAGTTGAGTATCGATTGACGATTTATAACCTGATAAAGTATTCCACATATTGTAGATGTGATACGTTTCTTCACTTTTATTCTCATCATTCTCGTACACTCAAACACGGCAATGTCTCTCGCATACTGTATCGGGTCGGCTGTTCCTACTGCACAAGTCGGACAAATTATTGGACCCCTCACAGTGATCATTTTCAATCTCTTTGCAGGCCAACTCGTTAATATTGGAAAAATCACCTGGGTGTTCCGCTGGATCCAATACATTTCCTTGATTTCGTTTTCGTACAAGGGGCTTATGCAAAACGAGTTCAAGGGCTTGGAGCTGCAATGTACGGGGCAAATGCAGTGCCAAACATATATGGGAGATGTCATTGTTTCTCAATATTCTTTGGAAGAACCGTCAAAGTATTTTTGTGTGTTGATCAATGTTGGCTTAGCGACAATGTTTTTGATACTTGGTTACGTGTTTTTCCAACGTACCTCGCGACCAATGATGCGTTTGAAATAAATACCTCGTTTTATTTTGTGGAAAGACATTGATGATGAAGTAGGAGTACTAGTGTGGTGGAGAACCAACCCCTTCATCTGGGTGGGAATCACAAACCTCGAAGGCAAGTCTCTGAACTGTGCCGCCGCCGTCAAAAGTGCTCCCAGACGGGGAATTGAACCCCGGTCACGGCCGTGAAAGGGCCGGATCTTGACCACTAGACGATCTAGGACTGATTTAAGGTGAAGGTATTTTTGTATACAATCTCGTATCGAATCAGCCCAACGCAACCAACTCCGACGCGTTTCTAAGCTTAAAAATGATTTTCCAAAGTTTGAAGACAACGAATAATGGTGCCAAGGTCAAATCGGCTCCTTTGTGACTTCTACATCAGAAGATCTCTAACCTCTCTAACCTTTTTTCCATTGCGAGCGTCACTCCATCAAAGTACGGTAGGGTAGGAAAATATTAGATTATTGACTACTGAACTTCGGATGACATCATTTATTTCTATGAAGTCTTGACTTTCCTCAAACAGTTGTACATTATTGAAATAAGTTTTTGAATAGAATAAAACGAAAAAGGAAGCATCAATGCTGTTCCATTGATCTTGCATGAGGAGCGATCGAAGCCCAAGAGCCACAATCAACATCATCCCGACTTTCTCCGTTCGAAAACCGGCAAAAAAGATGCTTGCACTTCGCCAACTCACCCGCCTTGCTCGCCCAACTTCATCGATCCGCCTTGCCATTCCAAAGCGTGGCCTTGCCTTCGACTCGTACGAGACCCGCGTTGTTGGACTCTCTGAGGAGCACAACACGGTTTGTGTTCCCGTCCTTTCTTGACTTGAACTCACTCGTCCCGGCCATTCCAGCTGCGAGAGTCCGTCTTTGACTTCTGTCAGAAGGAGCTTGCGCCTCGTGCTCACCAGATTGACAAGGACAATGCCTTCCCAATGGACATGTACGGCTTTCAACTTGTGGATTCCTTGCTGTTAACTCAACTAACGAAACGTTCAGGTGGAAGAAATTCGGAGACATGGGTCTTTTGGGAATTACTGCTCCAGGTCCGTAATCTGTTTTGGTTGAACTTGTGTATGGGATGATGGGTTGTGCTAAACAAACGTCAAATCCAGAAAAGTATGGTGGACAAGACATGGGATACTTGGCGCACTGTCTTGTCATGGAGGAAATCTCTCGCGCTTCTGGTGCTGTTGCTCTTTCATATGGAGCTCACTCCAACCTTTGCGTGAACCAAATCGTTCGTAACGGAAACGAAGCTCAGAAAGAAAAGTACCTTCCACGGTTGATTTCTGGAGACCACATTGGTGCCCTTGCCATGAGTGAGGCTGGGTCTGGAAGTGATGTTGTATCCATGAAGTTGAAGGCCGAGAAGAAGGGTAAGAAAAACACTTTATTCCTTTGAAGCTAAATCTCATAAAAGGTGATCGCTACATTTTGAACGGTACCAAGTTCTGGATCACAAACGGACCTGACGCCGACGTTTTGGTCGTGTATGCCAAGACTGACATCAACGCTGGTCCAAAGGGAATCACTGCTTTCCTTGTCGAGAAGGGATTCAAGGGATTCACAAAGTCACCGAAGCTTGACAAGCTTGGAATGCGTGGTTCCAACACTTGCGAGCTCGTTTTTGAGGACTGTGAAGTTCCTGCTGAGAACGTTTTGGGTGAAGTCGGAAAGGGAGTCTATGTCTTGATGTCTGGTTTGGATATGGAAAGATTGGTTCTTGCAGCTGGACCTTTGGGATTGATGCAGAACGCTTTGGACATCACCATCCCATATGTTCATGAACGCAACCAGTTTGGTCAACAAGTTGGACAGTTCCAATTAATTCAGGCCAAGATGGCGGATATGTACACCAAGTTGGGAGCCTCTCGATCATACGTGCACACTGTTGCCCGTGCTGCTGATGCTGGATACGCCAGTCCTCAGGACTGCGCCGGTGTCATTCTCTATGCCGCTGAGCGTGCAACGGAGGTGGCCCTGGATGCGATTCAATGTCTCGGAGGAAACGGATACATTAACGACTGTAAATTTCTTTTTCTTCTCTCTATTTATGTTTCCTCATCACCACTATTCAATTAGACCCAACCGGACGTTTGCTTCGTGATGCTAAGCTGTACGAAATTGGTGCCGGAACCAGTGAGATTCGTCGTATGTTGATTGGTCGTGAATTCAACAAGCAATTCAAGCAGTAAAAGTGTGTTAATAAACTGACTGCTCTCCATTAGAATCAGAATCAAAGAGAAGGAAACAGATTTCGGTGATATCATTGTTCGTGGGGAATTTGTAAGTTCCAACGTGGAACAAGGCGATTTTCCATTTGATGCCGCTGCAACGTGGCATTTCCCTCCACCCAAAAATTGTTCCCCCAAACAACAAAAGGACAACCTCCTCTCTCTGTGATCAACACAAACTTAAGAACAATTCCGAACTATGCAGCCCCAACTGTTTGCCCCACTGCCCGAGATGCTTCCGTTCGCCTCTCTGAACCAGAACCACAACCAGCCCGCCTCGCCTCTCCAGCCAAGTGAGCCGCCAAAGAACCTCAAACGCCGGCGCTCAACCTCCATCGAGGACGAGGCCGAGCTTCCCGAGGCTCCTCCTGGCATCGACCCTGAGGCGTACGCGGAGGCAGTGGGGACCAGCAAGTCAAAGCGCTCTCAGGCGCAACGTGACATTATCAAACAAGCAAGGTACCTACTAAAGACACCCATCTTGTTTTGATTGATCACTCAAACTTAACCACCCTTTCGTCTTCCACAGAGTTGTTCGTAACCGTATCGCTGCACAAACGTCCCGTGACAAGAAGCGCCGAACTTTCGAGGATCTTGAAACGCAAAACGTTCAACTCAAGGCCCAACTCTCTGCTGTGATGGCTGCCAATGCGGAACTGATGGCTCAAGTAAAACAACTGTCTGCCGCCCTCCAACAAGGGGCCTCATCCTCCATGTCTACCTTGCTTCCATCACCGTCTCTCTCTGCCCGCTCCGCTTCCACATCTTCGGCCTCTTCTCCCGACGACTCCCCAGTAATCTTGTCTGAACAAGCAACCCCTCTCGTCCTGGGTTCTGAAATCAATCTCTTCTCTTCCGTTTCCATTCTTGGTCAAGGCGAGCCAGCTGCGCTCAACAACGCCTAGACTCTTGATGACTTGAACCGACTCTCTTTGTTGTCTCTACCGGTACCCATGCTGTTGGATCGGTCTCCTGTCCGTACTGAAACTACTGGATCTGTGCTTTACCGAATAAGTCTCGATCCTGTGTAAGCGACTTGAACTTCCGCACTGCCCTTGCTTGATATAAACATTATCTTCCAATGGATCTGGGGCTTGATTCTCTTGGCTAGGTTTTTGATGCCACTGTGAATGTATTGGTTCCCACCAGCTTCCGCTGGTCTCTGGTTCTATCTGAACTGCTTTGAAGATTGGTCATGGTGTGAGTTTATGGTATATACATTCCTTCTTCTGTGGTAGTCTCTCATGACAGTGTCAGTTCATTGGCTCTTGGAGATTGGTGGCTGTGTTTTGATTGCTTGATTCTGACTTGACTGCAATTGTGCCTCCTCGGCTCATTCCGGTTGCCTGTCACAATTGAGGATGAGATACACTGTCTTTTGCCAAACTCCTTCGCTACTGTCCTGCTCTGGATTGTTTGAAAATTGCGGAAGACGGAATGTATATAGTGTAGGCTTTGTTGTGACTCGTTGGAAAACCAGTTTGTGTGCTGAATCATTGTGGGGGCCGTTACTGTGCAGTGCGTATATAGGATCTAAACGAAGTTCATGTCCCTGAATCCTGAAGTTGGTATGTTTTGAACTTGCTGGTTTAGTGTGGTTGTACTTGATTGTGCACACTTGATTTGGACTTTTCTTTTAGGTATGGATCTCTTGATAGTCTCTCGCGCGACACCGGACTGTTCCTTGCTTGTTGTTACCTCGGTTCTCTTGTTGGTCATCTTGGGTCTTGTTTTTGGCTGTTTCTTCGTCCCTGGAGCAGCCAATGGTTCTATGCAGCCGCGACCAAGCTAAATGATGGAAATGGAATGACGGATTTTGATTTTATGAACTTCTTGAAGGGAGGGCAGATGCCTGTCTATGAGAGTGCAACTACATTGGGAGTTGACTTTGATGCGCTATTTGAATCTGTGGCTCAGCCACAACTACAACTGAACTCGACTGACCTTGTGTTGGATGCTGATTTGGATGCTCTGTTATTCGGGAGCTGTGATTCAACACCTTCATTACCTGTCGGTCCCTCATTGAACTTCAGTGACTACCTCAAGTTCTAATTTAGTTTTAAAATTCATTTTGGCCGTCTTAATTCTCTCTCTGTACAATAAACCATCCTTACTTCTAATTTCAATTGGTCATTACTGCGCGATTCTTGCGGAACTTGAAATGTTCGTTGGATACGCTGCTGAAGATTTTTTCTACCTTCCATTCTAGTCACTTTTTAGTCTAGTCTAGCTTTCAGTCAAGAGTTGGAGAATGTCAGAATACGGAATTTTCCCTAGTTTGTATGCTGTGTTGGGCTTCACATATTTCAGTCGCAACACTGTTGTTGGCTGAGGGATGTCTCGTCTGCAAGCTGAAACATTTAAACCCTCAAGAAAGTAGGAGTTGTAGGAAGTGGTGAGACACGCGTTGCATCAAGAATTATTTGTCGACACCGAAGGGCCCAAATCCGCTTATTAAATATTTGAACTTGACTTTCGAGGCATTATTCCAGCGTTTAAGGGCGGAGAATGAGAGTTCATGTTTGTCGTTACTTCTTGGTGCGTCCCGCCTTCTTATTCCTTTATTTATTTTAACTTGTCAAAGTCTCAAAGTCTCCTCAGAACGACTCAGACTGTAAACAATGTCTGATTGAAAGGCTGTCTTCATCATTGTGTATGTGTTTTATCACTCGCGTCGCCTGGTCTTAGTAGGATGTTATCAGCTACAAGACGCATAATATCAATTGTCACGGACATCACTCTTCACTCAGCAATTTAAAACAAACAAAGGGGATATAGAGGAGTGTCGCTTCCCAAGAAGCTGAAGAGCAACGAACAACGCCAGAAATATATCGTCACAACTCATTAGCCTTTGTCCGACCTCGCTTCTGCGACCTTAAAATATTCCAATATGGCACAACGTCTATATCTCTCGTCGTTCTCTAATGTATTATCTTAGCAGCCAGCTCATTTCCCTGCAGTGGAATTGCCCCTTT